CTGCCACCAGGTGAGCCGAGGGGGCTGTGCCGGCCCCGCTCCCGGAGAGCCGCCCGCCGCCTCCCCGTGCCGTGTTAGGCTGCTTCGCTTCGGTTTCCCCTTCGAGCGGCACGCAGGGAATTCCCGCAGCACGAGCTGCTCCGGCCCCACCGCGTCTCCCCTCGTCTTTGCCCCGTGTGAGGCAGGACCCCTGTTCGCTCTCCTTTGGCACTGATGAGCTCCCTTCACCCTCTCTCTCCACAGTGCTTGTATCAGTTCCTGGCGTTTGTCCCACCGAGCAACGGCAGCCTGAGCGTTCCAGGCACGGCGTCGGTGATGGTTGATACTCAGCATCCACTCACCCTGCAGCTCAACAGCTCTCTGGGGGACACAGAGCTCTGCAAGTACGTGGCCCAGCCCCAGGCAATACATGCATAGTTTTATCCTATATTTTGCGTTGGTTCGGGTTTCTGGTTTGTTTTTTTCAGCTGGACCCATGTGCCTGTTTATTGCCTGCTCATCACCTCCTTTTTTCCAACTGTTTAGACGTAGAGTCAATCTCTGCCCCACTGCTGTCACCGTAGTGTACATTTTAACTGCACTAAAAGGATCTAGGGGCAAGCAGGAGCCAAAACTGTATTCATTGAGTCAGCATGTGCAAGCACCTGGTTTCTTTTGCAGGGAGTCTGTAGTTCAAGAGGACAAATGATGGCAGTGCGTGTGTGGTAAAGAATTGGTGTTGGGCTAGGGGACAGTAATGCTTGGCAGAGGTAGAGAGAAGCAGCTTCAATGTTAGTCCAAGTTTTTGCTTGCCTTTCCTAAAGCATTCAGGCTTACAGCCCCCCTAAATGCTGCTGTGGCACCTGCACATAGCCGTGGTGGCTCAGCAAGTTTCGTTTCATTTATCCTTTACAGGATTCATTATCATTTTGGAGAGTTTGGCAATTATTCCCTTGTGGTAAAGACCCTAAATACAAGCACCAAAACTGTTTCTTGTGACCTAGTCATCAATGAAGGCCCTATCAACAGCTACCTCCGTATGTAATGCTCTGTTTTTCCCTTTCATTCTGCAACTTGCATGTCTATCAGCAGAACCAGCTTCCTAAAAAGCCTATGAGCTACTCATGCTGTGCTGAAGAGTTGTCACGGGCTTGCTCCTCTTCATTGTCAACATCTTGCCTCCTTATGCTTTATACACCCGTCTTGAGGCCCTGACCAGGATCAGGCCTCTTCATATGATGTACTGTGTGCTCACAACCTTTTTGCTGCAGGGATTAATCCTGAAAAATCAGTGGGTATGTGTCCAGAGGGAGATATTTTCATAGTTCCTGTTTTCCTGTATGTTTATGTATGTATACAGAATCCTTCCTCTTCTTCCCTCTGTCTTGCTTCTCTCACAAAATGCAAAACAGTTTGCACAGTGTTTGGATTTTTGTTTGTTGTTGTGCTTTTAATTTTAAACCCGACATTTTCCTTTTTTGTTCATCTCTTTTCCAGGACTGTTTCAAACTCTTGTCTTTGTCTCTTCTGTTCTTCTCTTTTACATTACATTATTCTTCAGTCCTTCCAGTTTCCCAACTGCAACAAAAAATTCTCCGTGCTTGCAAACTTGGTGTATTACCCTCTCCCCTGTCTTCATGTTGAGGCTGGTTTTAAATCTCTAGTTTCTTCTTCAGAATATATAGGACATCAGCTCTTCTGTCACTATTGCCTTGTAATGCAGTGCAGTTTTCTTTTACCTTTTTTATGCCAAGCTGCACTTTGAAACTAGCCTGCTTTTGTGTTGGGTTGTTTGGGGGTTTTGTGTGGGTTGGTTTTTTACCTCTGGTACTCAGGCTGGGAATGCGTATTGCATGGAAAAGGTGGTGTGAGGATCGGTGGCTTGGGCTTTTTGTCATGTTTGTGTCATGCTTAACCAAGCCTAGGTTTTGGATCATTTATAGAGTTGTGTTGTTCTCTTTTCCTGCAGCTCTTCTCTTTGCTGTCCTGGTTTACATGGGGGTCCTTGCTGTCTTCATTGCCGGGCGCCTTCTTATGAAGTAAGTGAACAGCAATTCCTCCTCGCGAGTGAAGTGAAGCTGCTGGTTTAAAAACACACATCACAGTGTGGTAATGGTTCAGAGTCCCACTGTAGCCCAAGGGTCGTGATCAGGGTCCCAAGTACAAGTTAAGGTGTGGTAGCTGTCCATGGTCACGCACACCCTGCCTCGCCTGCCTGTCACTTGTTCCTGCATCTAGCCCTGAACCCGTAATCTAAGTCGGTGGGACCTAAGTGTGTGTAGCATATGTGACCTTTCACTCTGTGTGCTGAACAGGGTGAGTCATCCTTGCCTGTAGCAACCTGAGAATAAAAGCCCCCAAACTGAGCTTGTGTCAGTGGAATTACACATCTGGACTCTGGAGATCCTAGGCACCAGCTGAATCTCAGCATTACCTACATGAGCTGTAAAAACAGAAATAGGCACTGTCGCAATTTATGATTTATGCTGCCAAATAGTTGATCTTAAGATGAAATTGACTACAAAGTACTTCTTGTTTTGTGTTTTAAACTGTCATTAATTTTCAGAATTGATCCAGTCAGAAACTGGGTTTACAAGAAACTGAACCTCAGAGAAACTGATCGTCTGATTAATACTGTGAGTGACCAGAGTATCTTTAGTTTTTATTCTGTAGTGTTTTCATCTCTGAGGAACATACACTATCTGGGGACTTGCTTATTACTGATCATCTGCCCCTTGTGTGTATTCCCCTTAGAAAATTTCGTATTGATGTCAGACAGGCAATGGAGAATGCTAGACTGAGTTTCCATGCCAGTTTAGTGGATTCCCTGGAGAGCTCTTCTAAGTTTTGAACATGCAGATGTGTGCCCTCTTAAGTTCCCTTGAAGCAAATGTGTTGGTGAAAACACTGTTCCCTTCTGACATAGTGTAAGGGAAGAAAAGAAATGACAGCCTTCATGTCTGCTTCCAGCATAGCAGGAATTTTAGCAAAAGCATAAGCACCCCTAGAGCTGGCAGTTCAGTGTGAGGCTCATTTTGCACTAGAACGTAGATAGTTTATCACAGTCTGGGCTTCACATCTAGGAGGTCCAAACCTGCCTAGAATGAAAAGACTTGGATGCAGAGCTCTGCAGCAATTCTTGTAGTTGTTCATCTCTATAGCTGTGATACACTGATGTTGGCTTTATGCTGTCACTGGGGCTGGTCAGAGAGGTTTACAGAACTCAGTTGCAAAGAAGCCACTCCTGTATTTAGAAGAATTAATTTTCTGCTGGTTCAGCTCTTGAAACAGTCTCTGTCGTGTCAGACAAGTGCTAATGGGATGAGATGGATCCTGTTTGAGAGTCAGCAGCTAGATCTGCTCAGCTCTGTGGTAAAGCAGTACTCACAGCGACACCAAGTCTTCGGCTGATTTGGACCGGACCCAGCTCCCATGAGTCTCAAGCAAAGGCTCTTTTCCCTGCATTGGACTTTCCACCCTGGTCAAAGGTGGAGGGAGTGTGGAGCATCTGCAAATATTATTGCAGTATGGTGGTGCCAGGAAGAGGTTAGAAGTAGCAAGTGGGGAAACAAAAGGAAGACGGGGAGAATAAAGACAAACACAGTATGTGAAAGTTTGCAGTTTGCTGACCTCTGTTCCCTAGGCAGCTGGTGCAGCTGCTGACTTGCCCTTCATGTGTCTGGTTTGTTCCCAAAGGAGCTTGGATCCCCAAACACAACAGACTCTGTTAACTGTGATTCAACCCCACGTGTGTGGAGCACAGCCTCTCGGCAGCGGCTGCATTCCCTGGACACGTTCCGAGGGTGAGCACAAGACCTTACTCAAAAGCAACACTCCCAAGGGGAATGAGATTTTTCTAAAGGTGGTTTGACAGTGTATGGAAATACTTAGCAGATGGACAGTTCAAGGTGGTCTGTTTTACTTGGGAGTTAGTCAAGGTTTTAATTCTTGGATTTTCCACAACACTTTGCAGTTGATCTAGTTTGAGGAAACATTAACATTGTGGCAGAGGGTGGAAGAAACCAACATGTGTTCAGTGCAAAAATGCTATGTGAAGAAGCTTACTTTGGTTCGCCACCATCCATGTTCTTTGAAACACTGTTTTCTGGTTGGTAAAAAATAAAGAAATTAAAAATATAAACCAGGTTTCATAGTTAGAAATGTTGTAATGGGGGCAAGCATTAACTTCATGTTCATATGTATGTATTTCATTGACATGCAATACTTTGTGTGCATTTTTGTTGTCTTTTTAGGCTGTCTCTTATAATTATGGTGTTTGTTAACTATGGAGGAGGAAAATACTGGTTCTTCAAACACGAGAGTTGGAATGGTAAAGTACAGTTGAGACAGTTAATCTGGGGTTTAACTGCAACAATATCTAGATATGGTTAGCACTGCAGCTGCTACAGTGAGCTGTGGCTCAGCTGAAGGCTGTGACACTGTGCCAGTTTGCCTCCAGCAGGGTGTCTGACCTGCTGGGCTAATGGGCAAAGCAGTGTATAGTCCTGCTCATCACACAGTGATGGAATGGTTTCACATCACACTCTGTGTGTAGCATCTTCATTTGTGACACAGGTTCATATTTTTAACTTTTCTCTGTTGTTTAATGGCCACAGTCAAACTGATGTTGTTCAGTGCTGTTAAAACATAATGCCTTGATTGGCAGCCTGATGGGGAAGGAGTCTGTGCTGCTTTAGTGGAGCATAGCAAGGTTCCCATCCCTGAAACCTTTGCCAAGGCACAGCAATCAGTTCTGACCCTAGTCTCGGAAGAGTGGTAAAAACAGGCAAAATTATTAGCTCTTTCTAAGTTTTGTTTATAACATGTTTTAGATCTTGGGCTGTCAGATAATTACAAGTAGCTTCCAATTCCTCTAGAAACTCAACAATAATATTGTTAAAATTTAGGGAGGGTTCAAGGTAAATAACGTGCTCCTTTGTGTTTCTCTGTAGGATTAACAGTGGCAGATCTGGTGTTTCCATGGTAAGTTTTCCCAAAGAATAGTTCTTGTGTCAAGTGATTCTTTATATTAAGGGTTGCAAGCAGAACCTTGTTTGCACCTTGCCTCTATGTGGAAATGTATTTGGACAGGTGAATTTGGTTAAACTGTTGATAGGAATCTGCCCCTCCAGATAACTACATCATCCTTACGAACCAGTAGATTAGCTAAGTGTGGTGCCACACACCCTCCTTCCTGCCACACAGTGTTATTGGGAGGCCCAGGGTTACCCTGCCAGTGGAAGTGCAGGATCCCTGAGAAGCTCATTGCCACACTACTCTGATGAAGGCAGTCAGTCTGTCAAGAATAGAAGCTGGACTGATGTGTGTACATAGATAAATAGTCAAGTTAATTTTGGATTAAGCTGATATTTCTATAACCAGAGAATGGTCTTATTGGGAAGCAATTATCCTATCTGCCCCTAGCATGCTTTTCTACACTGGTTGTGGTTACTCTTGGAAGTGGGAGCTGGACATGGACTGTGAACCTAATCTAGAGGGGAGAAGTGGGTCAATTCTGACTTTGAATTATAGATACGTAGCTTGTGCTTTACTGCTCTGAAGATGCTAATTTAATTTAGGGTAATGGAATTTTTGGGTAGCGTATGAATTGCTGGAAAAAGACCAGAATGCAATTACATCCATGCCTCAAGTGACCACTGAAAATAGGTGGAAGGCTCCTATGGTGCAAGTTGAGTAGCCTGGAAATCAGAGGAAATAAAGTTGTCCAGTTTCACTCAGTGCATGCCAATTGAGCCAATGCAGGATGCTTTGTTAGCTTTAGTGTTTGCTGTCGCACACGTGTTATGAGACACCTCTCAGCTCCATTTCCCATCTGCTCTACTCTCTAGGTTTGTGTTCATCATGGGGACATCAATATCATTGTCACTGAGCTCCATGATGAGGTGGGGAAGTTCCAAGCAGAAGGTGCTCAGGAAAATCCTCTGGAGGAGTTTTGTGCTGATACTGCTGGGAGTCATAGTTGTGAATCCCAATTACTGCCTTGGACCCTGTGAGTGGAACTTGCTCTCTTCCTTGCATTTCTGCAACTGTTGTTCTGCCTCCTTGGCTGGGCTGTTGCTAGAACAGTGTCAGCCTTGTTGTATTGACCAGTTGCATGTGGGCAGTTTAGTGGTATCCTGTTGAGTGCTGTTCAGTTCTGCATTAATGCAGAACTGTTAGACCCCTGTGCCAACCAGTGTTTATCATCTTAGAGGTGACTTTCCCAGGATTATGATTTACAAGTGGGATGGCAGAGTGAAGGTGTTCCTTGTCCCTGCAGGTGTAGTGGGTCTCAGCTCTCCCTGGAGAAGGGTTGCTTCTGTATTTACAAAAGAGCATGTGTCTGCTCCTCTTTCACATTGCTTGCATGTTTTTCAGTGTCCTGGGATAATCTGCGTATTCCCGGGGTGCTCCAGAGGTTGGGATTCACATACCTGGTGGTTGCTGCTCTGGAACTCCTGTTTGCAAGAGCTGAGAGTGGGACCTGGGTGAGTTATGTGGGGAGATGACAACGGGTACTGGAGTAGGGTTTGGGAGCCTTTGGTCTTGTTTGAGCACAAAGAACACATGAGAAATGATGACAAAACATGTAGCATCTTACCTGATGTGTAGCGCAGTGAGACCTGGCAAAAGTTTGGGGCAATGTGCCCCCATCAGTGTCCCAGCCTGCATTTTATCACATCTGACTTTGCTGCATTTGAAGATTTCACCAATCCGTTCAGACAGTGGTTAGAAACAGGCATTCCCAGGCACTTTTGATGACTTTCTACTGCCAAGAGATGCCAGGGAGAAGCATCTCTATGCTGAATCCTGTGGTTTGTATTTTGTCCAGTTAATTTTGGCGGTGTTTTTTTCACAGCAGGGGAAAGTAATACTGCTTTTCTTTTCTTTCTAGTCTGTTTTCCCCAAAGGCTTTTGTTCTACTCATGAATCAAAATTCCTTTTGACATTTTCCAAGTTAAAAAACATGAAGGGCTTTTGTTTTGGTTGAAGCATCTCTATGCTGAATCCTGTGGTTTGTATTTTGTCCAGTTAATTTTGGCGGTGTTTTTTTCACAGCAGGGGAAAGTAATACTGCTTTTCTTTTCTTTCTAGTCTGTTTTCCCCAAAGGCTTTTGTTCTACTCATGAATCAAAATTCCTTTTGACATTTTCCAAGTTAAAAAACATGAAGGGCTTTTGTTTTGGTTTGTTTCTTTCCCCCCCACCCCCCCCCCACCCTCCCCAAGGAACTAAGTGTCTGGAAATCATTTGCAAAAATGAAAGGTCTGTTGATAGAACCTATTTTTTAAATGACAACAGCTCCCTCTTGTATCTGGGGCACTGCTTGCCAGGAAGTACAAGGTTGTCCCCAAGGGCATGGTTTTCACTTGCCAACTAATACCCTCCTCCCTCCATTGCTTGCAGGAAGCATCATATCCTGCTCTGCAGGATATTCTCCCCCACTGGCCACAGTGGATTTTCATTCTGATGTTAGAAGCGACTTGGCTTTGCCTGACCTTCTTGTTACCAGTGCCAGGTTGTCCCAGGTAAGACTGAGCACTCAGATGACTTCCTGTGGGGCATCAGATTGTTTTTCTTCTACTGAGTAGAAAGTACATTTTATTAGCCACAGGGAAAGAATGACGAGAGCCTTTAGGCCAGCAGGGTTAAGGCAAGCATTCATCATGTGAGAAAACTTCCTTTACTTGTGCCTCTAGCCAGGGAAAACATAGAGCATTTAGTGTGCTGGGCCAGTGGGCCAGCTGCTCTGCAGGTGGAGTGTACCAACACTTTGTGCTATAACCTGTTTGCTTCTGTCCTAGGGGCTATCTTGGTCCTGGGGGCATTGGAGACTTTGGAAACTATCCCAACTGCACTGGAGGAGCAGCTGGTTACATTGATCGTTTGCTTCTTGGAGAAAAGCATATGTATCAGCATCCCTCTTCAAATGTAAGTAGCTTTTGGTTTGCAGTATTAAGCTGCAGGCAAGCAGTGAACATACTGATCAAGAGGCACTTGGGAATGACACATGCTGTGGGGGGTGAGATAAAGGAGGCTGGTTGCTCAGGTGCCCTCTAACAACTGTTTTCTCTCCAAGGTTATTTACCAAACAACCATGCCATATGATCCTGAGGGGATCCTGGGGACCATAAATAGCATTGTTATGGCATTTTTGGGAGTGCAGGTACCTCTTTTTTTTTCTAGCTGCATGCTATAATGGGAAGATTTGAAGGAAACTTGGAAGTGGGGGCAACTTGATTTCTTTACTCAAGGTTGAGACTTGTTCTAACAAAACCTTTTGCAGACCAGTGCATTCAGAATGACTTAGCCTGAGGTGAGAGAAGTGGAACCTAATCTGGAAGTAGCTTGCATTAGATATGCCAAGACTTTTTCTCAGGTTTTGTAAGGGATGGACACAGAAAGCTTGCAAAATATACACCTGGAAACTTCCTTTGCTTGTTTTAAGATTGGGCTTATGCTGGGAGTAGGCTGGCTATGCATGTTCAAAAATAAGGCCAAGAGATGCACAGACTTCACAGTTTTATTTTAAGGGTTTTAAATGTTGCAGCTATATGTTGCTAATTTTCTGCTTGACATGCAGTGTAAGCTGTCTTGCATAGGTGCTATGAGTGTGCTCACTTTCCCTGACACGAGGGATACAGGGGTTCACATTGGTGTTACCAACACCAGAGGCTCACAGCTCATCCCTGTGTTTAAACTACAATACCACAATGCTTTTTGATGCAGTTCTGCTGGCTTTTCTGCAGCAGCTGTGAACCACACTGAAACTTTGGTGCTGGGAAACGGACCAACCACATGTAGCACTGGGTAAAAATTGATTGGGAGTGTCCCTGGGGCAGAGCTTGGAACAAAGTGTGACACTGAGGAATGAGTCATCGGGACAGATTTCTTAGTGGTGCATGAGAAGGGGAATGTGTTCTGAGCAGGTCAGGGTGTGATGTGCTGTAGAGAAGCTGTTTGGGCTGGCTGTGGTGGTGTTCCTTCACGTAATCCTTGCTGAAGGAAATGGAGCTTGAGTCACATTGTGTTGACCTAACAGAATTGCTTGTCCCCTTCCTCAGGGTTAACAGAATAGGGAAGGGAGAAAAGGTGCACCTCTATTGTGCTGTGTTTATGTATTTTCCCATCTGTGTCCATTCTTTGCAAAGACTCCTCATTCTGAGCCTTTCAGCCACTTGTCTGATATAAACCCTACTCATGTTCTCTGTCTTAGCACAGGTAGCTGGTGCCAAATATACCTGGCTCCTGGAATGTAGTTACACTCATGAGCATTAATTAATTATTTTGTATTCTTTTTATAAGGCAGGAAAAATTATCTTGTGCTACAAAGACCAGCACAAACAAATTATGAGTCGGTTCCTCATATGGGGCATAGTGATGGTAAGTCTGACAGTTATGTAGCTCTTTAACAGACACGTATTTTAATGCAATGCAAAGTTAGTATTTGTGAAACATGTTGCAGTGATTATATAAACTTTAGCAACTTTCTGTTTCAGGGAATTATTTCTGCTATCTTGACAAAATGTTCCAAGGAAGAAGGGTTTATTCCCATAAACAAGAACTTATGGTAAGCAAAGACATACAACTTCTAGTATGATTTTGTTGAAGTACAATTTTACCTTGGAGAATGTTTTGCCTTTTATGTATTGAGATCTGTATCACATAGTTCTCTAAATATTAATCTTTCTACTGAAAATGTTCGTAGGTCAATATCGTATGTGACAACCACAAGCTGCTTTGCCTTCATCCTGTTATTGCTGATATATTACCTTGTGGATGTCAAGAAATTGTGGTCGGGTGCTCCATTTTTCTACCCAGGTAAGTAAATTCACAGCAAGAAACATATTCCTTCCCGTCTGCACTGATACTGTTCTTTTATGTTTTCTGCTCTTCCCATGCCTTTAAAAGAGTAGGGATTTAGAATGAGATAACCTGAAGAATTCCAGAATGATTAAGTTGAGCTCAGTCGTTGCATAGAACCAGGACACTTGAGATCAAATGTTTAGGAGAGAGGGACAGTCAGCTCTTTAAAAGAGGGCTCGAGGCTGCTATTGCTAGTGCCTAATGACTGTTCTCAATTTGGTCTCGAGTTAAGGTCCCAGCAAACAGCTGCCTAGTACCAAGCAAAATACCACAGCTGTTCATGTTTGGTTTTGGAAAGGACTGCTGTGACTTGTGTAACCTAATGGGAAACTCAGAGGTCTGTCAGCAGAGTAATACCACTTCTGAAGATGTGGAAGACCAAATGTCCTGGGCAGCTGTGTAGGTTGTGTCTCTGTGATTTTAGGTAAGCATGTCTCCCAAACCATCCCACTGTGGCTTTAACCACACTGGGCACACAGCAACATGATGAGTACAGAATGCAAACCCACAGCAGAGGGGACCTATCAGCAGCTCTGGTGTCTGGACAGGAAGATGGGTAGGGTGACAAGATGGTATCCTATCTCCCACCAGAAATCAAGAGCTTTGAAGGGCAGTCAGCATCTGTTTGTGAAGGCAACAGATCTGACCAGATAGGCTGGCACTTGTCTACCCTGAAGACAATAACTGTGATTATTTTCCATATTAATATAATTGCAGGATACTGATTTGGTTGCATTTTCAGTTTAGCACAGAAGTTGTCTGTATTTCTTTTCAATAAATGTTTTGTGGGAGGGAACCGCTCAAGCTATATTTGAAAACACATTTGTGTAGCATTTTTGGGGCAAGCAACATTAGCTGTTGTCTTGATGCCACTCTGTTTTATGAGCCTGGCACACCCCTGCCTGCTTGCTACCTGCCCTTTCAGATGGTGTGACCTGTGCTTCTTTTCAGGTATGAACTCAATCCTGGTCTACATTGGACATGAAGTATTTGCAAATTATTTTCCTTTTAAGTGGAAGATGCAAGACAGTCAATCCCATGCAGAGCATCTGACTCAAAACCTCACTGCAACGACTCTTTGGGTCATAATTTCATATTTACTTTACAGGAGAAGGATATTCTTGAAAATCTGATGGAGGTGTAGCAGGCCTAGATTCTGGTGAGGCAAGTGGATTAGACCGAAATATTGCCACTTGTGCTAGGCTGTATTACTAAAAGGGATACTGGTTTACAGTGCCATCGGAGCTGTCATCAAGACTTTCATGTGACTTAAGGGACAGTATTTTCTATTCAGCAAAAACTTACTAGTCTACTGCACTTTGTCTGTTTTCTGTGTTTTGTAAATACTGATTTTGCTCCTTCATATAGAGAAACTGAACATACTATAACAGTTGGGCAGTGTAAGACAGCCTGATGGTGTTCATGAAAGGAACAGCAAGGGATCTGGGTGGTGACTGCAAGGGGTTATCAGAATGGCCTGTGCTAAGTCCTTGCATCTGACATGGCACCCCTAACTCGGGTGCTCTGGGGTTTGTGTATACCCTTGGCACCTGTTGCATGCCTGTGCCACTCTGGCCGCTGGCACATTTAACTTGGTCATCTTTTTGACTCGGGAGCACTGGCAGCATCCTCAGCACTGTACTTGGGCTGGTAGTGCAGTGACTGTCTGGGAAAGCTCAGGGGCCCCTCTGTGCTAGTGTGCTCTGGGAAGTGGTGCCCTCAGCTGATCATTCTTCACTGTGTTCTTCCAATCTCGTCTTGGACCAAAACTTTAGGTTTAGGATCCTGTTGAAGCCTGCTGCCTCAGATCTCTTCCACTGGCTTACGGATCAGCAGGCTGCTGCTGCAGGTTTAGCAGCCCATCTGTGCATGTTCTGGGCCTTTGTCTCTACCATGGGTGAGGTCTGAGTTTCACATGCTACACTCCAGGAGTGCAGAAAGGCCACTTCCTATTAATTTCTATAATCACATGGATATTACCAAATTTCAGTCACAGCAATCCTCTTTCTACATTGGTTTACTTAAGGGCCCTGAATCTGAAAACCACCAATGCTGGTAAAACTCCACCAAAAAAGAAGGGATAACAGACCAATTCAATGTAAGATAAGAGTTTTTGGAAATTCAGGAGATTCAGTAATGCTGTGATTTCCGAACCAGTGCTAATAAAAAGCCTGAAATACTTTGCTCTGTTCTCTGTGTATTTATAAAGACAGAAAGAACTAAAACACACACCTTAGTAAAATACTGTGGAAATAAAACAAAAACAAAACAGCGTATTACAAAAGACTTTTTAAACAAAGTTTTATTTATAAAGTTTGATCTAAGCACATAAGAAAACTAAACAGTGAACAAACACTGAGTAGTGTTTGTGTATTGCAGAACCTGTAACTCTGAGTCTCTGAATAAGTGATTTTCCACTGCCATGCTGCTGTTCATACAATTAAAAGTTTCTTCTCTCTCCATAAAAGACACTGCATCATGATCCAGTCCATTCAAGCAAGAGTCTGAAGCAGCAATATTTTCTCATTAATGCAGAACCTATGCAAGACCACCATGAGATTTTCCCCACAGCGTGAGACCTGGCGCTCCATGGCCAGGCGGAAATCTTCTTTCACTCCTTTAGTTATACCCCGGGTAACTGTATGATGCCTTAAGCCATGAAGGAGACAGACAAAAATCAAATAATAGTTATTTGAGGCAGTACAGTAATTTAAAAGCTACTGCATGTCACATACTACGTATTTACTGTCCATATCTGAGTTTATGTAAGGAGAGTCAAATAGCCCATGCTATGCTATTTTTTTAAAATCATCTGTTTAGCAGCTTACAAGTCTTTCAACAGTTGGAAGTTCCACAAAAGTCTATGCTCTCACTGCTTTGATTATGACTGTTTGGGGGAAAAAATGTTGCTCTTTTGGCTAACTGGAAAATCTATTCTCTTAACTCAGCATGTACAGAGTTCTTGCCTTGCTTGGGGAAAGGAATTTTCTTTTTCTGTCTACCTTTGCTGCCCAGGCCACTTCCTCCCTGTAATTACCCCTATAAATGGCTGGGGTTGAAAGAAGACTGAAAAGATGAACTTGCTTTCTCTGGAGGAAGGGTGCCACCATAAAGACAGAGAGCATCTTCTCTACCAGTAGGAAAGTACAGGAAGGAGCTATATAATCCTGTGGGCACTTTGACTAATGAAAGTGAACACTTCACAAAACCCCAATCAAGCCAGGTTGTGAGTCTGCATCAGTAGAAGATACTAGACACCAGACAGGGATTACATTTATTCTGAGCAGAAGTTCAGGACTTGTTTTCAAATCGAACAAAGGTCCAGCTACTGAGCAAGCTAAAGCTATGCTGGCTGGGGAAACTCATGGGATATTGCCCCATTAAAGGTCCTCACAACTGGCCTGTAGTACTCAACACCTACATCTTGTCCTTAAAACAATGTTTTGCAGCACCTAAGCAAAATACACTTTACTCGCACTGGTCCAGAACTGGATAAATGAGATCAAGACTTTGTAGTATCTACCTGCAAACCCTACTTTGGGAAGGGAAGCAAAAGATACGCCCTGAAACGAGAGCCTTAACACTACTACAGGAGCAGCAGAGAAAAGCATAATGCTAACACTGAGCCAAGGCCTGAGTCACAGGTAAGAAGGGAAGAGCTGATCTGAACCCAGCAAGCACACTGAAAGACAGAAAGAAAATAAAAACTAAAGGGTGAGGGCATCTATGCCAATCCAGAGATGCTGGAAACGAGAAAGGGAAAAATCTCAGAATTACCCTTGCCAACAATATCACCTAAATAAGCAAGTCCAGCATTTGAGAAGAGACTTCTTTGTCAAAACAGTAGAGACCTCTGCAACACATGGAAAAGGCAAAGAGGAGACTAGCCTGGAGTCTACTGGGCAATTCCTTGATGAGCTAGGCTGAGTGAAGCAGAACTGCACTCCAGCATATTCAGAGGTTTTGGGATAAGCCCTGTTTTCCATCTTTACTGTCTTAAACATTGCTGGCAGCCCAGTACTAGGGTCAGTTACAACCTAAAGGAGAATTTGCAACCTACAGCTCCTAAGGGAGCCAGTGGTGCTTTGGAAGGTGTGTGTCATGTAACAGCTGGAAAACAAAAAACAGAATTCAGAACAACCTACATGAAGAAAAGTAGCTACAAATGGATCCAGTAACGAGTATCTTGAAAAGAAAGGGTTATGCTCTTGTTAATATGTGACTGAACATCGGTATAATTTTGGAGGACCTCTACATTTTTGCTTATATTCAATAGTGATTATTAAATTGAAAGGACACGGATACTGGCAACTTATGGGAAAAAGAAAAAGAAATGTTATACTAGAACAACATGGTTTGCCAGGCAATGTAGGCACAAATGAAGGAAAAAAAAAAAGGGATAAATATTGAATAACAAATTGCTGAAAACCATGGGCAGTAAAACATATTGACAAAACACAGCACACTATGAGCAGGGTTTTTCCACTTGGTACCTGTCAGCAGTCTGTATGCTTATGGGAAAAAGAAAAAGAAATGTTATACTAGAACAACATGGTTTGCCAGGCAATGTAGGCACAAATGAAGGAAAAAAAAAAAGGGATAAATATTGAATAACAAATTGCTGAAAACCATGGGCAGTAAAACATATTGACAAAACACAGCACACTATGAGCAGGGTTTTTCCACTTGGTACCTGTCAGCAGTCTGTATGCTGTAGCACAGCTCCTGCTGCAGTAACCCCATGGGAGGGCTAGAAGTCCTTTAAAAAACAGCAAATAGCAGCATTCAAACACCCACACACCAACTCCCCCTCCGGTGCAAAACAACTCTCCAGAAAAAGGAGCAACAAAAAACTAGGGTGAGCTCACACAGCAATACGACCACTGAGCAGCCAAAGGGGTGCAGGACCCTAACAGCATCAAACATGCAAATATCCCCAGATTTCATTGCAAGGCTGTTCTACAATTGTGGTCTAGATACACACACATTTTTTTGGGCAGTTACACCGGGAGAAAGGACAGCAGCAGGTACAAAAACAATACGTAGTTGTACTATAATGAACTGTCATAGCTCTTCCCAGGAAGCATGTCAGTCAGAAAAGATTTAATCAGAGGAGCACTGCAGATACCACAGCTTCCCTCCAGAGCTGGCAGGAACACGTCAGCGAACTGGGAGAACCCACAACTTGGAGTTAAGGGATTTGCTGCTGAGCCCAAGCTGAGTGCATGCACAGCGGGTATCGGCCAAGTTGAGTACATGACAGTGTTTGTTAAAGGTTGCCTAAGTATCTTCTCATTAGCCCACAGATGGCCTTTTCCACCTCTACAAATCCAAACTGCATACAAAAATGGCTGTCAGAGGATGGCACAGTGTCAGAGCACAAATGCCCACTCAGAACAACCTCCTATTTATGACCAGGGCCACACAAACTAACCACCAAAAGATGTCTCAGCTGACAGACAGATTGTCTCCTCTGTGAAGTTCTTATCTCCATGTGATATCTATAACAAGGTAATAACCTAACATGTCCAGCCTAGAGCAAATCCAATGCCTCACCTAAAGAGACGAGAAATGAGAAATTTTGTATATAGCAGACAGGTCTAGTTTCCTAACCCAAGTCTCCCAAAATGCCACTTAAATCTTACTAGGCACCGGAGCACTGAGTGCATCAGGAACCCCCAGAGATGCTAAGAAGGGAGCAGAGAAGCAAAACTTGCACTTAGATGCCTATAATATCAAGTTAGGTGCCCTCAGATCTCACAGGTGGGAATTTTGGTTAGTACCTGGAATTTATTAATGGATATGGATGGAGAGCTATGCTTACAAAAGTCAAATAAAGATGGGACATTTAACGCTAATACAATAATGATAACCTGAAATAAAATATTCACAAGAATTAGTCCATCAGATGAGATAATTTTTCAAGAGTTCTTGGCATGAGTGAGTCCAGTACTTGCAAAAATGGACATGAGGAACAGAAAATACAAAGGACCAGCAAGATCCTGGTCCCAGAGTGCCAGATGCTTGCAAAAGGGAATATGTGCAACTGTCTTCACTGCTGTTTGCAAGATCTGCATTCAGAACTAAACATACCCATGTGCACAATCAGAATAAAAATGGCACCCTCAAGATACTTTGTTTCACTTGAAACCAACTAAGGGTTACCTTCTCTGTCCCTAGGGAGAGATGTGATGGGAATGTGAGTAGAGGCAGAACACTCAGCTTTCAGATCAAGTTTACACACTTGGTAGGCTAAGATCAGATTAATTAGAGTAAGATTTATAAAAAAGAGGAGCAAGCTATTAAGCAGCACTTTCTTGCATATTATTCTTTTCGTTTATAACCTCACCAGCTAACACTGGCATTACTGACATGTATAATCTGTAAAACTATGAAACTTGGCTTCTCTGGTTCAAAAGCACTTGGTGGTGCTGAATTCAAAGCTCATTGAGCACATCTTGTGACACTGCACACAGAATGAGCTGGCTATGTCACCAGTTAAAACCACAACCATGGGCCTTCAGATTCCCACAGTGGATACAAGCAAGAGGAAAGCTCAGAAGCTGTAAATATATTTTGCATAACCCAACTCTCAGTCTGCAGCCTACCAGGATCTTACTTCAGCTTTTGAAAGCAGTTTGCTTTACTGAGTTCAGAAAAATGAATATAATTTCCTATGAAGTATAAGGTACTTAGAAAAAGTACTGGAAGAAGAATGTGAAATTCACCTGGAGAGAAAACATCCTATAAACCATCGAACAAAAAGTGGTCCTTTATAAAAAACATGTACTATCTACAATACATTTCCCATCAATTAAGATGTAGGATTGCTACATTTATGCTGAAGAAACATCAGACAAAGGAACAACTGCTTCATCTTTGGCCTGCTGTGGCAAATGCAGAGAGTCTTTCTGTGCATGGCTGAACAGCATCTCGCCTGCCTCTGCTACTTATTGGGAGGATGGTGCAGCAGCTCATCCAGCCAGAACTGGTGATCATTTTGAAAGATGTAAGCAGTCTGCAGAGAATGAGCCTCTCAACCACTGTCCCAGGAAACAGGGCTACATGGGCACACTTTATCACAACCCCTGGCTGGGGGAGGCTGCTGAGATCAGCACTGCTGCGTGACACCATCCTGGGGCCTCACAGCCAGTCCAGCTAAACAAATACCTGTGGTGCCATGGGAGTACATGTCATCTCTGATCAGTGGCCTACACCCTGCACTATCCCTGATGAAGTGGTTCTAGTCCTACACATATAGCCACATAAAAGACATTGTACACAGCTTTTCCAGCTGGATGGGATATTTGACCATTTGGGCTCAATAAGCACAAAGAAATGGACCTCTCTTCTACAAGCATTTCCATCATTCAGAAAACATAACACTGATCAAAAGGAGGGCAAGGAGAGATTGTGTCTTGCTGGAAACACTTCTCGCTACCTAAATCCTGACTGGTGGGGTCAGAATAGTAACAGCTACCACACCAATTAAAATAAGAGCCGAGGAAAATAGCACTGGACTATTGCAATGAAATGGAGAGAGCAGGTAAGAAGTTACCAGGAGTAGTCTTCAGTACTAAGCCCTCTTGCTGACAAAGCTTATTACTTATCATCATACGTGGTGCAGCATACCCTGATGCTTGTTTTCATACAGCTGGTTACAAGCAGTGAGATATAGCAAGGGTAAGAGTTTGAAAATCTAGAGCTTAAAAGAGAAAATTCTCTGTCATACAATTAAGCATTTGAATTTCTACTTTTTCTTCAGTTATACCTTGTATCTCTTTTTTGTGTGGGTTACCTAGCACTTTGGAAAATCTACTCAAGTCGAAATTTGGATCCCATTGCCTAATGTTAGGCTCCCATTTTGAAAACTTCAGTCCATTTCTAGTTAGTGATTTGCCAGAATACACTGACCCAAAGCAGAATTTCAACAAACCTTAGCAGTCCCCCTCTTATGAAGCAAAATACTGCAAGTTCTCATAAACAACCAGGATATTCCAAAACATTCTGCCACTAAATCCTGCAGCAGATACTTGTTCAGCCTTGACCCAAAACTAACAAACACCTAGGAAGTTAATCCAAATTATTAATATCCTTCAGCATCTCGTAATAAGCCAAGCAGAATAAGCTTGTTCAGTACATAGCAAGAGAAAGGTTATTAGAGTGTAGCTGGAGTGTAATTTATGTTTTATACCTAAGTTTGTAATCGTTCAGTGGTCTTTCATAACTTTGTTTATAACAAATGGTGCTTTCTGTTCAGCATTACTGCTCAGCCAAATTAGTAAGGACACCTTGCACTCATGCCTAATTATTTAAAGGATTCCTGCAAAGTGTAAGTGTCTGGCTCAAAGAGCACTAATGTAATCCCTTTAATATGAATCACTCTGGAGCAAATGCCACACTCAGAAATAAAGTTCTGTAAAAGTAGGAGTTTAAACTTGAAGAACCCCAAAAAAGAATTCACAGATCAGCAGGAGAGTCAGAAAAAGAAACTTGGGACCTTGTTTGAACTCAAATTTAAGCTCAAAGACATGACTAACTTAATATCCAGAAGATAACATGAAAGCAAAGACAACCAGAACATACTCCTCTTTTTTTTACTTTTTTTGCCAAAGAAAACAGTAAATGCATTTTTATCCTTACTTGATCAACATTGCTTGGTTTGGCAGCAGTTCCAGATGAATCTTCCCTCCTTCCTGTGTTCTTAAATAAGCAAATTCCTCTAACATATCAATATCTGAAGAAAACGTTAAAGA